CTTCTTGAAGAGATGCATGGCAATAGCTCTCAAACGTTTAATCATGTATGCTATTTAAGCTTGGACATTTCCAATTACAGTCAATACTTACTAAATTTTAAAATGAACATTCCTTTTGCCCCAGAAATTCTACTTCCATGAGTTTATCCTAATGATACACTTATTAAAGTGCATTAAGAGATATCAACAAAGATATTCATTACAGCATAGCAACATGAAAAACGAAAAATACTGAAAACAACAAACATATCCATTAACACAGAATGGACTAAATAAATTATGCTACAGACACTATGAAGTTGAAAAGAACAAGGTAGATCTACATAAATGGCTAGAAATCTGTCCTAAATAAATGTAACTGTCCAACGTGGGGGAGAAGAGGAGACAGGAGATGCAGGTCAACAAGTGTAACGGTATGCATTTTCCTTCTTCGCCTAAAGTAGAATCTGTACATTAACAAGAAGAGCAGAATGCATAGCTATTGTCTAGGCAATCGGCAAAGCTTGTCACAGATTATTTGGTCCTTTGTTGTCCCAGACTGGGAAGAGAGGAACTACTGAGTCTAACAAAAAAGCAAGTTAATTCTCCACTTCCCATGACCTATGAGCTCCAGACCCTCAAGTAAGTAAGAGTCCGGTACCTCTTTTAGAGACTCTCAGAGAAATCCCCCTTCATCCCCACCCACAAACACACACACTGGACAGGACACGCCGTGAGGTCGGGCTTTATTTGGTTCCCTAGCATGGATCCCCAGCACTAAGATAATGTCTGGTCCGAGTCATCTACACCGAGAGAGGGGTTCCAAAGCCAGCACTACGGTAGGTCCATGCGGCCCTCTCAGCAATCTGCCTCTCAGTCATGCTGTGGGTTCTCCGTGAGCTAACCGGGCTCACTCTGCATTGGTACCACCTCCAGGAGCCTCATCCACTGAGACCTGGTCATTCACTTATTATCTCGTTACACCTCCGTCCCAATTCTCTATCTCATAATGCAAATAGAATAGAAGAGATAAATGCTATATGGTGTCATTGAAGTAATGCTCCTCAAAGCACAGATCTGCGATGAGATACGGAGCTTGCACTATAATGTAAATTGATAACTGTTTCACTCATCTAGACAGCCTTGCTACAAAGGCTTAGGGCATAGATGACTCGCATCCTGGTACAAACTCTTTATGCCCTTTCACAGACCATTAATTAGATTGGGAAATGCTGATCACATTTGGAAAAGTGCTAATATCAAGTGGGGCCTAAGGTGCTCAAGTTCCACTCCTTGAAGGCCTTGCTTTGCGCTAATCATTGCCTTCTGCCTCGATTTCCCCATGAAAGGGAGACCTGAAGCATCACTAATTGGTTAGGACCATAAAAGGCAGGAAAAGAGGTGGGGGACCAGGGGTGTCAAATAAATTTGATCTAAATTTATAATTCTGTACATAGGAACTCAGTCACTCCTCAGAACCTGGAAGTTAGTGATTCAGTTGGTAGCAGATTACTGGCTATGTCTGTCCCAAGCAGCAATATGTAGTTAAAAACAGTAATGAAAGCACGTGAAAATCAGATGCAACGGCTAATAGTCCTGTTCACTTTTTTAACTCTGTATTCTCAGTTATCTGTCACTTTCCATTAGATTTGCAAGTTGGCTAATCTCAGGAGCTCCACTTCCCCAGCACCATGTCACTGAAAACCCAGTATCCACACAAAACTGCTTTTTGAGTCTCTACACTAACATTCCCATGAGCCAATGATCCATAAATAAACACTATTTGTAAGTCTTCATTAGAAAGCACATGGTTTCTCTTCAGGCAAGATTGGGCTGCCAATTTCTCTTCTTAAATGTGAATCTCTTCTATTAAAAAAAAATAAAAACATGCAAACAGACATTCATAGTAAACAGAAAAGAGAACACCCATCCTTTCATAGCTATGACCTCTAAGTATCACTGAAAAGTAAAACGCCACAATTTAAAAAAAAATTAATACAGGCAGAATATATTCTTTAAGAATTCACAACCAGCCCTGGCCTGTGTTGCTCAGTGGTTAGAGTGTCAGCTCACGCACTGAGGGTCTTGGGTTCAATCCCTGGCCCCAGTCAGCACGGGGGAGGCAATCAATGTGTCTCTCCTACATTGATGTTTCTCTCTCCCTCCTCCCCTCCCTTCCATTCTCTCAAAAAATTAAAGGAGAAAACATCCTCAGATGACTATTAACGAGAAAAAAAAAAAGAATTCACAACCCTATTCCTCAAATCACCTCCCACCAAGTAATACTGATCTCTCTACTCTCGCCACTTCGATTTCTGTGAACCAGCCACCATCTCCAAAAAATCAAATATTGATCACCAATCCCTTAGTGTTTTCCCTTTGATATATTCTATTTCCATAACCATTGCTCCCACATTAAATGACAAACTTAAAGCTTCATATCTTCCATGACTCCCACTCTAGCCATGCTCTTGTGTGCACCCTCTCCTTCCTTTCTACTGTGCTACCTACAGATTTTCTCCAAATACTTCTAATTTCCCCAAACTTTTATTATAAAGTGTGTATCCTTCCTAATTCTGCTATTTCTTTGTCACAGTTGGACCATAAAATTCATATAAATCAGAATGATATATACATGGTGCTCTAACAAAGTTATAAATGTTATTGTTCTAAAGCCCACAGTAATATAGCTAGTCAACAATACTATCTGTTGGGCCCGGCTGGTGTGGCTCGGTGAACGAGCGTTGAGCTATAAACCAGGAGATCACTGTTCAGTTCCAGGTCAGGGCACATGCCCGGGGTGCAGACTCAATCCCCCGGGGGGGGGGGGGGGGGGAGCGCCATACAGAAGGCAGCCAATCGATAATGTTCCGCTCTCATCACTGATGTTTCTTTCTCTCTCTCTCTATCCTTCTCCCTTCCTCTCTGAAATGAATTTTTTAAAGCATATTTAAAAATAATAATAGTAATAATAATACTATCTGTTGGTTTCAGACACAAGGTGAAGGATTTCAACTCTGACACACAGAGCCTTATTGATATCTGTGAAATGTGATAAGTTGAAATTTTGTAAATAGAAGGGATTCTGTCCTTCCAAACACTTAGTGTGTTCCTATCTGTGTGCCTGTGCCTCACAAAAATGCATATCAGAGACACTCAATAAGTATTTCAGTTGGTAGACAAGGAATTTTACAATGCCTTAAAAAAAAATCTTTACAAATCACAACATTTGTCTTCAACGCTAATGCTCTCTAATTCAAGTCCACACTTAAGAATAGAGCTTAAAGAAATTATTTTTAAAATAAATAAATATACGCACACACAAAGATATTTAACACAGCATGTAGATGCTTGGCAATGATTAATAAAATTATATCTATTTACTTGGAATAATGTTACACAGCAACCTAAGATAATATCTATGTAGAATAGATATTATTTGGAAAATTTTTTGGCATACGGTTAAATGAAAAAGCATGGTTCCAAATTTTATCTACAGCATTATTGCAATTCACTTTAAAGCCATGCAGAGAAAAAAGACTAGAAGGAAATACATCAATAAAATTACAGATCATTTTTTCTGTGCTTTTACATCTCATACAATGAATATATATTACTATTATAATGAAACTAAAGGAAGCTTTACTATAAAAAGTCCAATATGTTACTCAAATAAGAAGGCAGACAGACTCTATGCAGGAGGTAACAAATGGGAATAGCTGTGTCCATGCTCTTTATATTGTGGGTTTCCCCATTTAACCAATGTGTCCTGTGCTACTACTGTGTTAATGTTTTTATCGTGGGTAACAACATTTTAATAGCGCATCCAAATGTGCCATTCAAATTTGACTGCTGATTCTTCATATTCCAAAGTACAAGTATTCTCAATATGTTGACCTTTCCATCTGCCTAAAGAAGCTAGCCACAACCCAGAACCAAAACTACTAATAATTTGAAATCCTAATTTTCCCACATAAGCAAATCATTGGATCTCATGGATCTTCAGAGACGTTGCAACAGTCTCTCCTCATGGTGTCTTATCAGGGACTCAAAACCTCTACAGCAGTGGTTCTCAACCTTCCTAATGCCGCGACCCTTTAATGCAGTTCCTCATATTGTGGTGACCCCCAACCATTAAATTATTTTCGTTGCTACTTCATAACTGTAATTTTGCTACTGTTATGAATCATAATGTAAATATCTGATATGCAGGATGTATTTAGGTGACCCCTGTGAAAGGGTTGTTCGACCCCCAGGTTGAGAACCGCCGCTCTACAGCTACCGAGCTTCCTGAGGCCTAACCTAAATTCTTCCTGATTTCCATCTGAACTCATTCCTTCCAGTTCTGGCCTCAGGGCAACCGAGAGCAGCCGCTCACAGTCCCGCAGACCCCACTGTGACCGCTCT